CCTTCCACTCTTAATTCAACTTAAGTATCACTTAGCTTAAGTATCTCCACGTTTAGTTTCTGGGGTTCCAAAGGAAAGGTTGGTCTTACTCCCATATCCTGCTAATTATTTTCATAGAACTTTATATGTCTTTATAGTGCTTATTACAACTGTAATTTATTGATTAGTTGTGCATGTGTTTGTTTAATGACTGCTTTCCTTGCCAGACTATAAATTCATGTGTTTGATATTATCTTCCTTTTTTCTGCCATAGTGCCTGACATATAATAGGTGCCCAGAAATAGCTGTTGAATGAAGCTATAAATCAAATGAATGGATGAATGAATGAATACTGAAAAGAGAACATTTTAGGGCTATATGCTGGGAGCATTTGGATTTTAAAATGTATGTGAGATGTTAAAAATTACTAGTCAGATCTCAAAAAGTCATCTTGTTGTAGCATAGATCTTTGCCCTGTCATCTCTGTTGATGAAAACTTTTATGAATAAACTCTTCATTATTAGATTATGCTTCAGGGGTTCCCAGAAACATGAATAACAACAAGAAAGTCAGCTTACGTTTGCTGAGTGCTTATTGTCTACCAGGCTTTGTACTGGATGCTTTGTATGTATTATCTCATCTAAGTCTCACCATAACTCTGAGAGGGAGGTGCTATTTTGTTTTTTTTTTTTTTAATTTCTATTTCTAGATGAGAAGACCAGGGCTCAGAGAGTTTAAATAACTTGCTTAAGGTCACTCAGGCTGTAAAGTGGCAGGCCCAGAAGTAGGGGTGAAGCTAAGCTTTGTAGCCTGAGATAGGGGACCACCCCTGCCCCAGTGCCCTTCCCCACATCAACTGGAGTAGTCTCTTTTTATCTGTTGTATAAACGGAGCCTCTGCCTTGGTTTTCTTTGAAGCTAGGGTTTTGTGGCTAAAAAAGAATTTGAAAAGTCCAGGCCTGCAGAATATGTTTGAGCCTGATGGACCCTTTTCAGCCTCGTGCTCTCCCACCATTACCACTCCTACCATGCTTCTCCCGGACAGAGAGAGAATCATGGTTTCTTTCCTGTCTTCTGTAACTAACAAGTTAACTGTGTATCTACAAGGCAGTTTCCAAATCTCAAGGCAGAAAAGTTGTATTTTCTGCACACTCCTCCTACAGCAGGTCCATCCCTCTGCCCTAGCAGTAGTCATACTCTGAGTAGGGCTGACAGGTTTGTCCCCACCACTCGACTGAGCCTCTGGTAAAGTTGGACCAGGCCTGCCTCCTCTCTGGAGCTCCTCAGCCTGGCCCAGGATCTGGCACGGAGCGCTGGGGGCTCAACCAGGGCTTGATGAGCAAATGCACACTAAGTTAGAGTGGGTGCTCAGAACCAGCCGGCTGAGTTGAGAAGCCTGGAATGTAAACTCCAGTGTATACTCACAGAACCCCATGAATGTGAGGTGGAGATGATCATATGTATTAATCACTGGTCTGGAAAGGAATGAAAATATTTCCATAATACAATATGTTTCTTTTCTAAAACAGACGCCCTCATTCTTTCATGAGAAAATAATTGTGTTTGATTAAAACGTTCATAAGCACTATCATTTATTCAGGGCTACTATATGCTGCTCTCTTTATTAGTACTTTGGTATGTCTGCTTCTCCCAGTCACCCTGTAAGGTGTCTGTCCTTCATTTTAGAGATAAGGAAACTGAGGCTCAGAGATATTAAGTAGCTTGCCCAAGGATAGTCAACTTTTGAGTGATAGATGTAGGAATTAAACTGGCCTGATTCAAACCAGTGCCTTGCCATCACCCTAACTGCTTCCGATCCTGCATTTTAGATACCTTTCCCCTCAACACCCTGAACCAGCACACACGTACCCTTCTTTCTCAGCCCCTGCTGTGCCCAGCATCCCCTCTCCCACCACTGCACGCCCCTCTCCATTTCCGTGTAGTATCTTTTTGGTTATTGCCTCTGTATCTGCATCCGGAAATGGAAATACTTTTGACAATGTCAATAATAATTGGGCACTATTACATGTGAAAACTGATGTTAATAGTATGGTAATGTCACGTTTGCAGTAATACATACAAAATAATTCATTTTACTAAGGCCAAATTATGTATTTTATGATTTTTTTATACAGCCTTTTATACTTAAGATTTTTTGAGTTCCATTTTATATTTTTTAAAATGTATTTTTTTCCTCCATTTAAAATATAACAATGTTGTGAAAAGAAAAGTTGGTTAGATAAATTTTTTTCTTTTATTAAGGGTTTTCTAAACAGTGGAATACCTATTTCAAATTACATATGAAGGACAAGATTGAATTATTTCAATAAGGTTTATTTGGAGAAGTTTAAGAGATTTCTTACAGACTTATATTCATTTATTTTCTGCCCCTCTTAGTATTTCAGCAGGATTAAGTTTTTTGAATCAGTGGATCAAGTTTTAATTTTCCTGTTCCTTCCTTATACTGACATATGCTTTGGCAGAACAAAAAAGAGACCTAAACATGTCAGCATGATTTTCGTTCAATGAATTAAAAACCATAAAAGTAACAAGATCTGATCCAAATCCCTAAACTCCTGACATTGGTGGTTTTGTCCTTTTCAGTCCCAAGCTTCATATTACTAGCTTTGAAAAGCTTTCTGCCTGGAAGCAGAAGTAATGGCAGCAGTGCATGATTTATTTGAAATAGATTACAAGGGGTAGGCAGCACGGAGTAGTGGAAAGAATACAGGCCGGCAAGACCTGGATTTGAATCCCAGTTCTCTCACTCCAGCCCGTGGGCAAGTCACTTAACATCTGTGAGCCTCAATTTCTTCACTGGAAACGGGTGTTAGCTCTAATTTGAAGAGTTGTGAGGATCAATGAGGTAACATACTTAAAGTACTCACCTGGCATAGAGGAGCTTAATAATGGTAATAATCCGGGCCATTTTTATTTTGAGAATACCTTCAAGTAGCTGAATCCAGAAGGATTTATTTATAACACAACTGTTCACTTCAGAGCTTATCCTTTCTCAAAATTCTTTAATTTTTTTTTTTGTCATCAGAGAAAATATCAGGTAAATGCTACTAAATCTTTAACAGCTGCTCATTACTATTCCACACTGAACATGTACCCAGAATTTGGGATTGTACTTCCTTGGCAAGAGCCACATTGATTTGAGGTCAGGAAGCATAAGCATGTCCATTTCAGGACCTGGAGGTAGAGGAATTTTGTCATATGACATAAGGCTGGCTTTTGAGACAGGCCAGCCTAGGTTTGACTGGGTCTGACTTTGTATAAGATACCAAACTTCTTTGGGCTTCATTTTCTTCATCTGTAAATGGGGTTCATGATCTTAACAAGACTCTCCATGAAATCGCTTCCCAGCCTCTTTTCTTGTCCCTTTGTTATGTGTGCTCCAGCCAATTCCTCAAATGAAACATGGGCTCTGCAGCTTAAAGCCTTAATGGATGCTCTTTCCTCCTGGAAATTCCCCGTTGCTGTGACAGTAGTGGCTACTTGCACTTACTCTTCACATCCTAGTGTGGTATAATATATTAGTCAAGATAGGAGGGGTTGTGCTGCAGTAACAAGCAATCACAAAACCTCTGTGGCTTATAATAAGAGAAGTTTAGTTCTTACTCATGCTGCATGGTGGGCGCTGCTTGTCATAGTCACTCTGGGACCCAAGCTGATGGAAGCTCTATCTCAACTTGTACTGTGGCCAGGGGAAACAAATGTGGCAGAGCACACATCGCCTCTTAAAGCTTCTGTCCTGAGGTGACACCCATCATTTGTGCTCACATTTCATTGGCCAACACGAATTATATAGCCTGACTTCAGAAGGGATGGGGAAATCTATTCCTATTATGTGCCTGGAAGGATGAGAACCAGAATACTAGTGAACAGACCTAACGACTGTCACGTTTTAGATATCATTTCCTCAGGAAGGTCTCCCCTCACTGCACTGTCCCGAAACTCAAACAGTTCCCGGTAAGTTGGCTGAACACCTTCTGCATTCCCGTGGCACCCCATACTTCCCGACTTCCCTCACCACGGCACTTCTCACACCCTTTGCAAATGTCTCTTGTCTCTTAAGAGCAGACAGAGGTCTGTCATATTCATCGTATTACCCTCAGCACCTAATGCAGGTTTTGATAGGTAGTAACTCAGTTTGCATATGACAAAGAAAGGAAGGCAGAGCAAACATGCTGGGCTACTTCAGTGGGTTTTTGCGATGATTAAATATAAAATAGAAATCATGATAGCTGCTTCATATGGTTGTAAGAATCAATGTATAAAGTGCCTATCCCAGTGGTTTATTGTAGGCCCTTGGTACGTTCATTGTTGTTAATGATGAGGATGTTAAACAACTGACATTTATTAGGCATTTATAATGTGCTAGACACTCTCATGGGTACCTTATGGAAGTTAACTGGTACAATGGTTCTCACATGTCATGTTGGGACTCATGTTGTGTCTTGGCCAGTTTTGAGATGATTAACAAGTCATTTGTTACAATAATTGTTAAGATTCTGAAGGTTGCTACTTATTTTATTTTGAGTGATTAAAGATGGTTGAGAAAGGGGTAGAGTTATAGCTAATAATTGATGCCTTTTATTGAGCACTTAAAACGTGCCAGGGTCAGTGCTAAATGATTTACACGCATCATCTGATTTAATCTTTACACCACCCCTTAAGACAGGTGCTGATACAATCCCCATTAGACAGATAGGAACTCTTAGGAGAGGAAGTCAGTTTTGCTTCTCATAAGGGGCACGGCCAGGATTTGAGCCCAGGTTGGCCTAGATGCCCTGGCTCATGCTTTTAAGCAATAGTCTTACTGGCTCTCCTAGCCTAACTTGCCGGGCATTCTTCTTGACCCTGAGCGTGCCTGTGGCATGTGTCAGGACTGTGAAGATCAGCTGACACAGAGTAAGGTTACACAGTGCTGAGCAGGTGAACAGAGTGATGTTAAATTCTTGACTAACAGTTAACAAATAGAATGATTTTGTTTCATGTGTTTTTTTCTCTTATCAGAGTAACCAGGGAGCACAGGGAAATGCTGGTGAAACTGGCCAAACAGCACACCAACAAGGCCAAAGACTCTTTACGGAGGGTTCGCACCAATGCAATGAATAAGCTGAAGAAGTCAAAGGACAAGACCTCAGAGGATATCATTAGGCTCATAGAGAAACAGGTACTATTGTCAACAGATGTAGTAGTGTCTGTGTATCTGACCCACGGAATCATTTGGTCATGTCTGAAGCGAGGACAATTAAAGCAGAGTAGCCCTGAGCCTTTTATTCACATGATCAGCATCGACTGCATCTCTGTTCTAGGCCTAGCCCTATGCTGGAAGCTGGGAAGGCTCCATGGAGGAGGATGAGATACTATTTACCTTTTACTGTGTGCCAGGCTTTGTGTTGAACACTTCATATTACTTCATTTATCCTCATCTCTACAAAACTGTAAGGGAGGTAGTGAGGAAACTGAGGTTCAAAGAAGTTAAATAACTTGCCCAAAGTCACACTGCTGATAGAAATGGTAGAAGTGGGATCCAGACCCAGGCAGACTGATTTCAGAGCCTATATGCCAATGCTCTCCCCTCTGTTTTCAGTGTGCCGAGTAGTGGCACTTAAACAACTCTTAAAGGAGCTATTGGAGTAAAGTAGAGACAAGGGAGAAAGGTGTAACCACATGGGCAAAGATACGGTGATATAAAAGAACATTGTTCAGTTAGATCACTGGGGCTTGAATCTGGGATAAGCTTAGGGAATAAATAGAGAAAACAGAGTGGCCAGATCACAGAAGGTCTTGCATCCCAGGCTGAAGAGTTTGAACTTTAACATATCTGGAGGTTCCCACATTGGTTATGCATGTATATTAATCATCTATGGTCACAGTAATGCTACATAACAAACTACCTCCAAACCCAATGATTTACAATATCAAAGCTTTATTTCTTATTCTCATTTCTGTGGGCTGGCAGGGGTATAGCTGTTCTAGACTGGGCTCAGTGGGCTCAGTGGCTCCAGATCTTGTATTGGTTCAAATGTGCTTTATATATCTCTCAATCTTCAGAAGTCAACAGGTTTCCCAGAGCATCTTTTCGTGGTAACAGCAGATGCCAAAAACATGAGCCAAACCACTTGAGCACATTTTAAGCACCTGCTCTTGGCCAAAGCAAGCCACACGGGCCAAGCGCAGTGTCATTGATGTAGGAAAGAAGTAAATATGTTCATGGAGGTCTGGGGGAGGGAGTGAATATTTGCTGAACAATATCTAATCTACCACAGTACCATAATCACTTGGGAGCTTATAAAAATACAGGTATCTGGGGCTCCATTCACAGAGATGGAGGCAGTGAATCTGGGTTGGGGACCAGGAAACTGCATTTTTTTTTTTTTTTGAGACAGAGTCTTGCTCTGTCACCCTGGCTAGAGTGCAGTAGCATCATTGTAGCTCATTGTAACCTCAAACTGTTGGGCTCAAGCCATCCTCTTGTTTTAGCCTCCTGAGTAGCTGGGACTATAGGCATGAACCACAACGCCTGGCTAATTTTTCTATTTTTAGTGGAGACGGAGTCTTGCTCTTGCTCAAGCTGGTCCCAAACTCCTGATCTCAAGCAATCCTCTGCCCCAGCTTCCCAAAGTGCTAGGATTACAGGTGTGAGCCACCGTGCCTGGCCCAGGAAGCTGCATTTTTAAATGCTTCTTAGGTGATTCTCCTATAGTAATACTCTTGAAAGATTTCTTTTTCAGACAATGGGGAAATCACATCTGTATTTATGAAAGATGACTGTGGTTGCCAGGTAGAAAACAGATTGTAGGGGGCAAGACTGGAGACAGGGAGACCGGGGAGACTGCTGCAGAAATCCAACCAGTAAGTGTTGATGGCCTGAACCTGAGTAGTACCAGTGGGAAATAGTAAGATGAATTTACCAGTATTTAGGAGATATAATTAGTAATATTTAATGTAATATAAAGGGCTTGATAGGCCCCAGAGCCTATTTGTCCACAATAAAAGCATTATTTTGGGAAGATTGAACAGGAGTATAGGCAGGATGGGGAGTGAAGAGGGAAGAGTGAGAGGCAGGGAGAGCCACTAGGGAATGCCTGGAGGAGGCCATAAATTGACTAGCTGCTCCCCTTCTTCTGGACCAACAGAATGCTAATCGTGGGCCAGCCACAACAATCACATGGGGAGAATTTTAGGTGGATTCCTGGGTCCTGCTCCTGCATTTTCTGATTCAGTGGGTCTGCCCTAGGAATGTCTTATTTTTAAAAAGCTCCCCAGGTAATTCTACAAATGCACATGTGGAAGATAATGACCTAGAAACCTTATAATACACCCCTGTAATGGCACCAGAGTTAGAAAAAGATTATTTTGTACTTCATGTCCCGTGACCTTGGGGAAGTTATTTGACTCCTCAGAGTTTGACTGTTCCGTGAAAAGGGTTTGGTAATTTCCGCCTTGAAGGGTTTTCCTGGGATGCTTCAAAAGCGCTATTTGCATATCTGGCATCTCCCCTTCCTGCTATCTTTCTGCTGTGCTCTTTCCGTGCATCAGCTGAGAGAAGTTCGTAGATTAGGCTGGACTTTTCTGAGCACTGATCAGGCCTGTAATAGTGTGGGCCTTGGCTCCAGCTGGGCCAGCTCCTTGTCTGTCTCCTAGGGGATTTCATCTTTACAGTTGACAGTTTGCCTTTCATTACTTCCTGGTGGTAAGCCTGTGGACCTCCAGGGCCTGCCAGGCACTCCTCACTCAGCAAGTCAGGGCATCTGCCTTGGGGACCAGAGCCCACCACTCCTTGAAAAAGGAAGAATGATCAGATAACCAGCACTCTTGACAAAGTCCTTGCTGGAAGGCTTCACTCATTAGCACTGGCTTTTCACCATCCTCTTCAGATTAGATTCTTTTCTTCCGTGCTTCATCCTGTTGATTATTATTACATTTTCAAAGTGAAAATAGCGTAAGTTTTTCTGATACTAAACTAATGCATGTTTACTGTAGTTTTTAAAAAGGAATGAAGAAAGTCATTGAAATCTTATCACTTAGAGATGGCCATTAACATTTTAGTGCAGACCTTCAAGTTATCTCTTTAAGCATGTGTATATTACAAGAAGAAAAATCATACTATATATCATACAGTATATCATAGATATCTTTCCAGTGTAAAAATCTTTATTGAAGATAATATTTAAATGTTAATTCTTACCATTATTGTTAATAATTTCATCTATTGTCATATGGTTAAAAGTTTGGGCAGGAAAATTTTCAGGAGACAGCCTTGTATCCACTTCATTTTGTTCTTTTTCCCTGTCAGAAAGCACCAAACTGGAGTTTTTGGTGTGTGTTTTTTGCTTTTTTTTTTTTTTTTTTTAATATAAACAAGGCTATAGCTGATTGTTGCTCGTCAGTTTTTAAAAATTTGTTTACTTTTTGTTCCTCATTATCAAAGTAATGTATGCCCATTGTAGAAAATGTAGAGTACAAAAGACTATTTAAAAAAATGAGGAAAAATTCATTCGATAATCCCACATCATAGAGGCAACTGCTCTTAACATTTTGGAATATTTCTTCTTTCCTTTTTTTTTTTCTTTTTAACTACATAGCTTTAACATGATTGAGAACATACAGTATATATACAATTTTGTATTCAGCTTTTAATTTTCTGTTTGGCATTAAAGGCATTAGCATTTTCTTGTGCCTTGAAAAACTTTGTAAACAGCCATTTCTAAAGGCTTCTAAATAGTCCGTGTTGTGGTTATACCCATAATTCACTTTCATAAGCCCTCTTTTTGGACATTTAGTTTATTTAAACTTTTTTTGTTATTATAAGTAAGATTGCAGTGAATATCTTTATACATAAATCTTTGTTGAGATGATTTCCTTAGGATAGGAGTCCCAAGTATAGAATTACTGCACAAAGGGAATTCATTTTTAAGGTTCTTGGTATGTACTGCCTAAATCACTTGAAGGGTTTTTAGAATGTGTGTGTTTTTTAAAAAAATGTTTGCCTTTTATAACCCCTAACACTTGAAGCTGTAATTTTTAATGTGAGCTTAAATATTGCTTATCTTGAAAGTATTGCTTTTATTACCACATTCTATAAAAAGATTAAGTTCTTCTTTGTATAAATTTATAGATCCTTTCTGGAATATAATATGTCAATATGTATCAAAAGCCATACATTTCTGATTCAGTGACTTAGGAATTTATCCAAAATAAATTGTCCAGAATCTTATCTATAGGGATGTTCGTTGATGTATCAAGTGTAATAGTAGAAAACTGGAAAACTGTCTACATTTCTGACAGTGGGAAAATAAATTGTTTTATTTTCACTGGACTCTATATAGAAAGACAGTTATAAAAATATTTTAATAGACATGGTAAATTTTTTGGAATTTTTAAAAAAATTATACAATAGTATTGTGATTTCATTTTTATAAAGAAAAGTTACATGTACATAGGATTGGCAGCCTATACACATCAAAATATTAAAGGTGGTCATTTCAGGTGATAGGATTATGAACAAATTTGATTTTATTTTTTGTGAGATTTTCTTTCTTAATTTTTAAGCCAGTCAAATTTAATATTGGGGGGTTGTATGCCAGCTTTAGTAACACTTATGTTAGCAAGTTCTGATAACCCACTACCATTGGACTAGCCGAGATTTTTTTGTTTTATTTTTAATTTTCAAAAATGTTTTGAGGTCAGACTTTCTAAAACTTTATTATAAAAATGTTTCTTTCATCTTTGGTATATAAGAATGAAATGATTCAGTTGTAGGTCCTATCCCTGCAGTAATGTTTGACCCCCAGATTCCCTCAACAACCCCCCAGCTTCCCAACCCCAAGTCCAGGCCAGCACTGCTAAAGAAAGACCAGTGTCTTCCCACTTAGGACTCTGACATCTGCCAGCCTGCTGTTGCACCTTCACTTAGTTTGCTGTAATGGGCCTGCTGAACATTAAAGCACTTGGCAGAAACCATTGGTAACTCTGGCCAAGATCCTTTCACTGCTGCCTTTCTCTGAGAAACAGAGCTGCTCTGAAATGAGGGAAGCTGGGGTGCTGGTGGAGTTGAAGGAGGGAAGGGCTCCTCACAGACCGAGTGAGGCAGTGGGTGTTCCGAGCCAGGCCTCGGGAACGATGACTTATACGCAGGCCTGCCCCAGAGGTGTACTCTGTGCTCCTGCCATCCCCCTTTCTCTGTCCCTGCCTTTCATTTTCCTGAACTTGTAAGTAGCAAATGTGACAATGATGGTGACAATGATGATGTTGATGATGATATTACAATCTTTATGAGGCAGCGTATTATAATGGAAAGGGCTCTCGCTTTGGCGTCAGACAGTCCTAGAATAAAATCCTAGCTCTTTTGCATGTTAGCTGTTAATGCTTCACCTTTTTGAGCCTCTGTTTCTCCATCTGTAAAGTGGGAGCAGTAGTGCTTGTCTCACAGCATTGATATGAAGACCAAATGATGCAGCTTACTTAAAAGTGGCTCGTATGGTTGCTGGTCCTCAGCAATTGTTCACCCTGTATATTTATCCTGCTCCTCTCTTCAACTTTGTGACTTTAATGATCGTAACACAGCATGCTTGGAATGAGGAAGGACTAGGCCAGCTGCTGTGGAGCCCTGCAAAGGAAATAGCATCACACTGGCCATCAGAGTGGCAAGTTCTTGGCTCAGCAACACCACTGACTTGATCTGGGCAGATGAGTTAACATTCTGTGCCTTAGTTTACTCCTCTGTAAAATGAGGATACTACCTGTTCCACCTGCTTAATAGAGGTTATGTGAGGTGGTTGGATTTGAATGAAGTAACAGAGGATGAAACAGGTAAAATCCATGTTCTTTAATCAGGTAAAATTAATGTTTATAATATGTTAAAGGGAGCTAATAGTATTCATGTGTTATAAGGATCATGTGCAATAATGCATGTAAAATTTTAGTCAAATGTCTGGCGTGTAGTAAGTACTCAGGAAATAGAATCCATTGTTGGTAGTGGTGATGTTAATCATCATTATTTTAAGAAGTCTGATGAATATGGAAAAGATAAATTTGCAGGCAGACTGTCCCCAAGGGTACTTTGTGCCTATATTATGGTAAAAAGTTAGTAAATATTTTCATTGATTGATTAGTTGGAAAAGAAGTCAGGAAGTGATAGTAAAAATCATAGTAACACAACCAATATTTGTATAGCAAATAACCAGTTTAAAATGTGCTTGTATATTCATGATTTTGTTTAAACCTCACAACTACTCTCTAAGGAAGGGACTAGTATCCTCATTTGATAGATGAGGAAATTGAGACTCAAAGTGGGAAAATGACTTGTATATTTTTACCCCACTGAGAATTTTTTTTTTTTTTACACTTCCCACTTCTCAGAACCACTGAGAATTTAACCCAGAACCCACATTATCAAATTCTTACCCTAGGTACTCTCCCTCTTCCCATCCCCATCGCTGCCTGCAAACTAGCATCAAAGCCATTTTTCCAGAGGAGGCGTGTAGCCTTCATTCCTGACTGTCCCAGGCTGCCAGCCTGCAGGTGCTGGAGCACTGCTAGGCACCACGCCACACCCCATGCAAGGCAGCTGCAGAGGCAGAAGGATCTCAAGGGTTTGTGGCTAGATGAGTGATGAGGGATAAGCTGCCAGTCTGAGGCCACCCCCTTTGCCAGAGTGTCTGACAGCCCCAGGAGCTTTGCTTTTCCAGCTGAAAAATGCACAGTTGCCATGGTAAGAGCCTGGCTGTGCCTCTGCCTGGGACCAATTGCTCCAAGTCCTTTTTAGTTTCCACTCTAAATGTATTTAGTTTCTAATTCCTAGCCAAGGCCTGCGGTCTGCAAATAAAGATGTCAGGCAGCTACCATGCTGCTGAGCACACATATCCTGGGAATCATACTGCTGCCTTCAACGCTTCCTGCCTTCAGTCCCATTTAGACACAGGAGGAAGGCTGCAGCACCTACTGAATTGTATTGTTTTTCATTCTTAGAAAGAGTACCTGTTTATTGTAGAGAATTTGAAACTATAGGAAAATACAGAAAACTTTAATTATTCACTTAGTAAATATTTCCTAAGAACTTGCTATGTGCTAGTCCTAAGCTGGATGTGATGAATACAGATATAAATAATACATTGCCTGTCTTCCCATTACTAAAAGATAACCACTATTAATATTTTGGTAAGTTTCTTTCCAGTTTTTAAAAATATGCAGTTTTTTTGTTTACATATTTTAGAGATAATTTGTACTACATGTGTATACAATTTTGTATCCAGCTTTTTCCCTAATTCAAGGATAACATCAGCATGTTTCCATATTATAAATATCTTGAACCATTATTGAAAAAAATGTTTTTCTGATTATAAAAGCAATCCATGCTTGTTATAAAACATTTAGACATTTCAGAAATATATACTAGACTGTTATATACTAGACTAAGAAATAGTCTTAACCATTTTAATGACTGTATGTATTCAACTACTTCCCCATTCTGTAACTTTAGATTTTCTGATTTTTCATTATTAAAAATAAAGCTGAGATAAATATCTTTGTGTATAGTACTTAAGAAAAGTTTTCAGATCTTGTTCATGTGATAGTTTCATAGTTGACAGATTTTGGGTTTAAATGGTACGAACATTTGCATCAGTTTGAATTTTTATCAATGATATATGAGCTTATCCATTTCACCATAGTTTACTGGCATTGAATATTACAATTAAAAACCACAACATCAAATTTTGCTAACTATGATACCTGAATTGTATGTTGTTTCAATTGGCATTTCTTCAATATCTATTGAATTTTCCATGCTTGTTAACTAGATGTACTTCATTGTTTTTCAAGGCATTTCTTTTTCTGCTTCACTATTGGGATCGTAATATCTTGTTATCAGTTTGTATGAGGGCTTTGTATAGCAAGATGTCTGAGGTGTAGGAAATTCTAGAGTCACATTAAGGGACAGATAAGGCTGGCTTCTTCGTATGCGTAATAGGTAAGAGTTTTGGGTTGTAGAATCAGACTACTGTGGATTAAATATTGTTATTGCTACTTGCCAGCTGTATGTCCTGAATAAGTGATCTAACTCCCTCAGTTTTCTTATCTGCAATATAGGGATAATAGTATCTATCTCATGGGATTGCTATTAGGAATTAATTAATAAGAATGTATATATAAAGTTCTTAGTAGAGTACCTGGTTGGGACTCAGTTAATGTGAACTTTGCCACTATTATTATTTCTCAGATAACCTCTTCATATTTCTGGAGTATTTATCCCCCTACCCTTTTCTAGCCCCGTTTATGAGGCTGTTTCATTTTGTGTTCTTGCAGATCAGCCAAATGGCCGATGACACAGTTGCAGAGCTGGACAGGCATCTGGCAGTGAAGACCAAAGAACTCCTTGGCTGAGAGTCCATCAGGGACCAGCAACACTCCAGAGCGTGGAGTGGATCCCGTGGGGGAGCAAATTGGCATCCCCAGGCCCCATCCACACAGAAGGCTATGACCATGCAATCAGTCCTTGTGAGCCCAGCCTTCCAGTGGAACACTCAGACTTCTTCATTCTCTTCCCCCTACCGCTGGCCCCACCCCATTCTGCCCTGGGCCTTTGGCGTGGATGGCCCTCAGAGAATATCTGCGGCTGGCAGAGGGCCTTTACTTGGGCATTTGGCTTGACCGTGATGTCACCAAGGGACTGGGACCATTGGCAGGCTTAGTACTGCCTGCTCCTCATGTCAGGAGCCTCCTTTTCATTTAGGCCCTGTCCCCAGTCTTGAACTCTGCTTGAACTGATGTGGGCCTTCACCTGTGACTGGACATCTTTGCCAGAGGCCCATTTTCACCAAACAGTAAAATCTAAATAAATTGAAAAGAATACCAGCCACAAAAGGAGGGACAGAATTGGTCTGGATTGATCTCTGAAGACCTGCATATGAAGCAACCAGAACAGTACTTTTGCCTCAGGGTCACCCTCACGCATGTGCTTTTCTCTGCCTGGCCCACTCTTCCACTCCTCACCTGTTCACCTCCAGGTTTCAGCTTGGATATTATGTCCTTTGGGAGGTCTTCCTGTCCCACCTCATGTAGGACCCCGGATACCGCCTCTCATAGCACAGTCTACTGCTTTCATCTTAACCCTAAGTATTCTTTCTGCTCATTAGTCTGTATATCCTCAGAACTCAGCGTAATGCCTGGAGCATAGTAGGCATTCTTATGTTTGTGCTGTGAATAAATTTCACACAGTAGCTACCCAGCAAATGCTGGCTGCTTTTCTTTTTTTTTCAGTCTTAACACCATCTTTCTGTCATTCTCCACACTTGCCCTTGTCCTCAACAATTGCCTGGTAATGAAATACCATTCATCACTTGACAGACAAGTGGTTTGTCGTGGCTCATCTTTGGGTACTGGGGTAAATTAGTTTTTTTTTCCCTCCAATTATTTTTCACTCATTCATAATATCAACATCATGAGTTAGATATAGTTCTAGGCATTATTTGTAATCTTCACAGTGAACATGAGGGATATGCGTTATGTCCATTTTACAGATTTGAAAACTAAGACTTGACAGTATTCGGCAACTTGCCCCAAATAACAAAGCTGCTATGGTAGAGGGTTTTCATTTTTCATGGTCAGTGTCATTTACAGAGAGGTGAGGTTTCTTGCCCGAGGTTACACAGCTAGCAAGTGGCAGAGCAGGGATTCAAATTGATTCTAAAGCCTGTGCTCTGCCCACTAGTGTAAAAGGAAAAAAACAAAATTTTTTCCCCCTACTGTCACACTTAACGTGGAACACCAAACAATTCTCCAGCAGACACCAACTAGGTATCCTATAATTGAATTCAATTCTGACACTATCTACCTGGAGAACAGTGTCACATCCCACGGGTTGAGCGCTCAGCCCCACAGACTGCCTCCACTTTCAATGCCAGTCATGAGTCTGGGCCGCCCATACTTCTGGCCAACCAGCTAAAACCCAGGGTTCCTGGCCCCCTCCTTGGGTTTGAGCCAGGACAGCTCACAGAACTCGGGGAAACACATTTACTGTTTTATTATAAAGGATGTTATGAAGGGTACAGATGATGAAGAGGTACATAGGGTAAGGTATGGGGAAGGAGCACAGAGCTTCCGTGACTTCTCTGGGCTCCCCACTTTCCCAGCACCTCCACGTGTTCAGCAACCTAGAAGGAACCACTGCATCCAGCTACCTTTCTTAGCGTTTAGTGAACACCAGCTGTTTGTCAGGTACTGTACTGTGTGCTGGGAGCACAAAAATGGGTAAGACGTGACCCCTGTCTTTGAGGGGTGCACAGTGCACTGAACTAAATTGCTATCTATAATGTCTTAGATGGAAAGGTAGGAAGTTGATTCCAGTTCTGCCAGATATCTGCCTTCAGCATGGAGCCCGCTTTGGTGGCAGCAGGGCCTGGCTGAGTTCCGTCGAAGCAGCATCCAACTTCTCTTTGCTGTTTGACTTTCCCCAGACTGTCCTGTGCTACAGGTAATAAGGATTGCACTCCTCCCTCTGCTTATCCTGATGGAATACACAGCCTTGAGGATTCAAGGTCAGAATTGGGTCAAAGATGAAAGAAACCAGCACAATCTCCTGCCCGGCTTACCTGTCTTCAAACCTCATTCGCCAGCTGTTAGTGGCCATCACGTGGTTGGAACTCAGCTGGGGAGAGAACAGGTATAGAAATAGCAATTAAGGAGCCTCTTTCGAGGTAAGCCACATGAAGGGGGCTTTGCGACAATCTATGAGTGGCCGAAGTCCCCCACTCACTGCAAATGTGCTTCTCAAAGATGCAGGATTTTTTAATAAACAGAGGAAATGATAAATTATGTTGTAACTTCACTCCAAAGGCATTTGGTTCTTAACAGCCAAATCCTCTGTAGTCTTTAAATAAACAAAAACTTATTTGGTGAACAGACGGGGGAAAAATGAAAGATTTTCTGTACTTGGTTTCCACATGTCAACAATTTCTCTCCTGTGTGTTTGTTGGCCAAAGCTGTATCTCATGATAAATGAATAAAGGAAAACCTCGAGCCCAGGGCAGTCAGACAGCTCAGCAAATGGCTTTCAGCTGATTGCTCTATTTCGGTTGACATTTATCAAAGAGTTTCTCTGTTACTCTCTGTGTCAGGCTGTAGTGGTGGCAGGGACGAGAATGAGACTACCTGTTTGAATATGCTGAGTAATGAGTAATGCTGGAGCAGTTCATTCTCCTCTCTCTCTCCTGCAGTTTCTCTTTCAAAAAAGCTGGGTATGGAAATTCTCACACTTACCAGAAGATTTAACTACCTCTTCTGTTCAGTTCAACAACTTTCAAAGTCCCATGAAAAATTCAGGCCAAAGAGAATGAGAACATTTTTTCGCTTTATTTTTTTCTTCTGTGTGTGTGTATGTGTGTGTTGGAAATGACAAAAGGAACTGGAATATAAAAAAATTAAAAAAAAAACTTCACTGGCCAGGTGCAGTGGCTCACGCCTGTATTCTCAGCACTTTGGGAGGCCAAGGTGGGAGGATCACTTGAGCCCAGGAGTTTGAGGCTGTAGTGAGCTATGATCACACCAGTGTACTCCAGCCTGGGTGATAGAGTGAGACCCCGTCACCTTTGAAATTAGGTGTATATCCTTCCAGACTTTGTGCAGATATAATTTTTTATTTTAGAGACAGAGTCTCACTCTGTTACCCAGGCCGGAGTGCAGTGGCATGATCATAGCTCACTGCAGCCTTGAACTCCTGGCTCAAGAGATCCTCCTGCTTCAGCCTCCCCAGTAGCTAGGACTACAGGTGCGTGCCACCATGCCCAGCTAATTTTTTTTTTTAATTTTTTGCAGAGACAGGGTCTCGCTATGTTGCCCAGGTTGGTCTCGAACTCCTGGCCTCAAGCAATCTTCTGGCCTCGGCCTCCTGTAGTCAGATATAGTTTTTTAGAAGGAGGGAGGAGAACTATTCTATCTATAGTCTGAAGTTTTTTTTATTTATTTTTTTTAACTGCAAACCAATCGTGACCATCCACGTATGTACATACAGATACAATTCATTCTTTCATTGCCATTCAGTATTCCATAATGTGGACCTACCATAACTTATTTTACTATTAATATTACCCCATGACATTTTAAAAAAATAATTTCAAATACATTGGAAGATGTTTGTATTTAAAGATGATTTTTTAATAGGAAAAAAAAGACTCGTAAGATTATCTGGTAAATTCTGGTCTTCCTCAACCTCAGACTAATCTTTATTGAATGCCTGTTGTGGACCAGGTACCATGCTAGACCCTTTACATGTGTTATTACAATTAAACTTCTGAACAATCCTTGTTGGTGTAAGTATTACTATTGTGTTTATGTATGAGAAAACTGAGGTTCAGAAAGGGTATTTAACTTGCTGAAGGTCACACAGCTAGTGGGTGCTAAAGTGAAGTTTCAAACCCAGATCTGACTTTGAAGTGGGTCCTTGTCAGTATGCTTTGGTTCCTAAGTCTTCACTGAATACTTACTCAAAATGAACGTAGCACATTTCTGGGCCTGGAAGGTGAGGTAAGAGAAGCACAAGTCTTGCTTTCATAAAACAGTTAGCAATAAAGGACTGCATGTAAAACAGCATAGTACCTGGCACATGATAAACACTGAAGAAATGGTAGCTCTTTTGGAGACACTGGCAGACTTCTCTTGAATATATCAGAGAACCAGGGAACAAGCAAAGTGATCACCAGTCAATAATGATGATAACAACGATAGTATTTATGTTATCAATAACTAATATTTGCTTAGTGCTTTTTAGTTTTCAAACTGCTTCTACATCCTTTATCCCATTGAAACCACTGAGTGAAACTTTGCAGTTAGGAAAGACTATGATCATAAAAGTTCATATCCTCAAAACCACTTATTGAGGCTTTCTGTTGCCCAAATAGATGGTCAGTTTTCATGATGTGCATTTGAAAAGGTGTGTTAGCTATTTGGGGGGTACAAGTTTTGATGTGTATACAGGAAATGTAGTTTATAGATTATTCTGTGTGGGTTTTCTATATTCTTACTTATTTTTCGACCCTTTAATAAGTCTTGGACTGAAAGTGGTGCGTTTCAGTCTGCTGTTATTAACATTTCTATTTTGTCTTGCATTTCCTATAATTTCTGCTTTATGAAAGTGCTGAAGTGTTTTGTACCTAGCTCTCCAGACTTTACATCTTCTTTATTTCATTCAGTGCTCTCAGTCTGAATTCTGTCTTGTTACCTATGAAGATCACAGCTCTTACTTGCTTTTTGTTTACACTTAGTGTATGTTTCCCCATTTCTTTATTTTTAGCCTTTAGGAATCACTGTTGTAGGTGTGTTTCCTTTTTTGGGGTTGATTTTGTTCTATAAACCATTCTGAAACACCTTTTTTTCTTATTTTTATTTTTAATTGTGGTAAAATATACATAACAAATATTACCATGTTAACCATTTTTAGGTATACAGTTCAGTGGTGTTAAGTACATTCACATTGTTGTACAACCAGTCTCCAGAACTCTTTTCACCTTGGAGAACTGGGACTGATACCCCTTAAACAGCTCCTCGTCACCCCTCCTCCCAGCCCCTGGCAACCACCATTCTACTTTCTGTCTCTATGAATTTGACTATTCTAGGAATCCCATATAAGTGGAATCATACAGTATTTGTCTTATGGAGACACTGGCAGACTTCTCTAGAATATATCAGGGAACCAGGGAGCAAGCAAAATGATCTGGCTTATTTCACTTAGCATAATGTCTTCAGCGTACATCCCTGTTGTAGAATGTATCAGAATTTCCTTTATAAGGCTGAATAATGTTCTATTTTATGTACATATAAAACTCCTTTTAAACGGTGACTTAAACTCATTTACATTTATTCATAACAGTGATATGTTTAATTTACTTTTTCTTTATGTTTGGTTTTAACACTAAGTGATTTGGTGTCACAACCGTCAGCAGGTTAAGAGACTAGGAATTAGATTGAGGAGAAGGGTTGCTTCTGCATAGAGGAAGTTCAGTGTTTGTTAAATGAACAAATAAGTGATGATCTCTCTTTCTCTCTCCTTTGAGATGGGGTCTTGCTATATTGTCCAGGCTGGATTCAAACTCCTGAGCTCAAGGGATCCTCCTGCCTCAGCCTCCCAAGTAGCTGGGAGACTACAGGTGTGCACCACTGTGCCTAACCATCTAGGTATCTAATATTCCTTTCTTCGGTCTCT